TGCTCTGTTGCTCAGGCTAGAGTGCCATAGCATCAGCCTAGCTCACAACAACCTCAAACTCCTGGGCTCAAGCAATCCTCCTGCCTCAGCCTCCCGAGTGGCTGGGACTACAGGTGCACACCACCATGCCAAATAATTTTTTCTATTTGTAGTAGAGACTCTTGCTTGGGCTGGTCTCGAACTCCTGAGCTCAAGCAGTCCTCCCACCTCCGCCTCCCAGAGTGCTAAGATTACAGGCGTGAACTACCACGCCCAGTCTATAGATAATTTTTGTGTCTCGTTTTTCCTTTTAATATTATATCTTGAACGTTTTTCCAAAAAGTAAAGTGTTTGTATAAAATTCTGTCAGTGGGATTAGATGCTAAAATTTATGTAATTAATTGTTCCTACTTTTGGAAATATGGAAATGTAGAGTTTCTGTTTTTTACTCCTGTGAATAAAGTTTCATGCATAAATCTTTGTCCTTTATTTATTTATTTTTGAGACAGAGTCTCACTATGTTGCCCTTGGTAGAGTGCAGTGGCGTCATCATAGCTCACTGCAGCCTTGAACTCCTAGGCTCAGATGATCCTCCTGCCTCAGCCTCCCGAGTAGCTGGGACTAGAGGCACTTGACACCACACCTGGCTAATTTTTCTGTTTTTGTAGAGAAGGGGTCTCAGTCTTGCTGAGGCTGGTCTTGAACTGCTAGCCTCAGGCAGTCCTCCTGCCTCGGCCACCCAAACTGCTCAGATTACAGGAGTGAGCCTAAAAATTTTTATTAGAGGAACACAAAAATGTCTTCTATTCAACTTTGTTTATAAAATGATAGGTTAAGTATATTTAGAGATGTAAAAAGCCCAGGGAGACTGACATCTTAGGAAAAAAAATTTCTTTTTAACCTAGGTCTGAAGATCGATCTCTGAAATCCCTCTTCTCCCCAGCAGAGAGGAAGGTTGTGTCCTTGTGAAAAATCAGAAAATGTCACCTCTGTTTTCCTTTTTTCTATCCTGGACATTCACTTTTCTTTCTAGTGGTCATTTTATCTTCAGGATGATTTCTAATGAAGAACAGGAGTTATAAAATTTTATAGAAACATTCCTTTTCTTCTTGTTATAGGCCTCCATATTGCAAGTGTCTTGTAGAATTTATAAGGTAAAATCAGTCTTGTTATAGGTTTTAAAAAATTGACTCCGAATTCAAGTAGTAATTAAGCTTTTGGTTTTTGTAGGTCCACTTTACAACTTTTTAGATTGTTTTTAGGTTAAGTGGGTCTAGGAAAAAGCTTATCATACTTCTTTAATGGGAGCATTCAGTGACCTAGTCTAGTGTTTATTGTATTTTTCTGTTGTTCTTGTTCATTCAGGAGCTGCCTATTGTCAGTTTATGGACATGCTGTTCCCTGGCTCCATTGCTTTGAAGAAAGTGAAATTCCAAGCTAAGCTAGAACACGAGTACATTCAGAACTTCAAAATACTACAAGCAGGTTTTAAGAGGATGGGTGTTGACAAAGTAAGTAAACGTTATTCTTTTATTTAGGTTAATGTTTCTTAACTAATGATTGTTACTAAGGGTGCAGATGCTAACCTCTGACTTTGGACTTTTTTTTTGTCTTTTTCCAATTTATGTAGTTATCTTTTCTCTGGTTAACACAGAATTTATTGGGAGCAAAGTGTCCCTCTACCCTCCTACCCCTCTTGCTGTCTTCTCTCTTTATCATCTGTGAAGTTAGTAACTGTTTGTAGGAGTTAACCTATAAATCTGGGCCAGTGATTTTTTTTTTTAAATTAGTGTTGAATCTTGATTAGTCTGAAATCTAACTCTCTTAATCTTTGGATTTACTTCTGTAAAGCACACTGTACAAAGATTTAAATAGTTCCAATAGAGGAGATTCTAGAAATAATTGTTTTTTATGGCAGGTTACAAGGAGAATCCCTGGTAGGTGCTGGGAAGCTCCCTCCTGCCCCCAAGTTTATTTGAAGTTACCAGAAACATGGTCCACTGGACTTCATTAGCACAAATATTACCTCTGTTTTAGCAGATAATAGATTATTATAGAATTAAGCAGTTTGGTTCCACCCCTCCCCCCATTACCCCATTAGAAAGGTTTGTCCTTTTAAGCCATTTTGGGGGGATAACAATTTTTAAGGGATAAAGTTTGTAATGTCTCCTAATTATCTTACTGGTGTGTCTGGTTTTTATTTATTTTGAAATTGGTCTTATTTATTTTAGTTCTGTCTCTGTGCAATACATAAAATAAACATTTGTAGTATAAGGATATCATTTAGTTTCTAGGTATAGTTTACATAGGGGTAGCTTATATATAATAGTTTTTCTATTCCTTTTTATGGAATTATATTTTATTTTTTGAATGTAGAGAATTTCTAAAGTATACAAAAGTGGTAATAGTGTATAAATAGTAAATAGTATAATAAATAGTAAATAAGTAGTGTGATGATCCTTCATGTATCTCAGCAGTTAGCATGGTCGATTTTGTTTCATGTCTACCTGTATCCCACCCTGTGTATTCCTGGGTTATTTTGAAATGAGTCCAGACATAGTATTTTATTTGTAAATGTTTCAGTATCATACAAAGTAATTTTTAAAAATTGCATTTGTCAGAGGGGCGAATGTAGTTTAGGTTATTACATATATTCTTTTTATAGTAAATACCATTGCATCTGGAATCCTTGGAGATTAAAAGATAGTTATTGTCAAATCAGGGAAAAGGCAAAAGAATAAAAAATAAATAAATAAGTAAAAGATAGTTAAACTCTGGCCAACACCTCAGTGATTTGTATACCTGATAACACTGTATTCTTGTGATCTTAAGTAGGTTTTTTTTTTTTGAGATGGGGTCTTGGTATGTTGCCCAGGCTGGTCTCAAACTCTTGGGCTGAAGCAATCCCCCTGCCTTATCCTCTCAGGTAGCTGGGACTACACGTATACACCATGGTGCCTGACAAGTATGTTTTAATAGGATTGAAATTACTTGAAAAACATGTCATTTTGTAGAACTCTATCTGGGGACTGCTTCTGCACCTTGTCCTATTTTCAAGTCAGACCTGTCTTTAACACAGTTCACTATAGATGCCTGTGGTTGGTTTGTGCTATGGATTTCATGCTTTGTGATAGGCACGATGGCCATGCAAGTTATATGGGGGATTTACTCTTTATAGTGAAATAACACTTGTACTACGTCTGAGGGTATGTTCGGATGTGTCTATATGACTCATATGGTACTTGTTCTTTTTTGTTTCTGATTCCTTTTCACAAATTTGAGGAATTGGAGAGGGTCTGTTAGGCGTAGGTACTCTGTTGAAGGCAAACTGAATGAAACTTGCTTTATAAATTTCTAGGGGCTTAGAACTAAGTTCTCTAAAACATTTTTTTCTCCTTTGGGAGAGCTTTATACTGATTTGCTGCATGGACAAGTTTGATGCTTGCCAAAAGCCTCTTGCTTTGGGCTAAACAGTCTTGATTTTTCTCTGCAGATAATTCCTGTGGATAAATTAGTAAAAGGAAAGTTTCAGGATAATTTTGAATTCGTTCAGTGGTTCAAGAAATTTTTTGATGCAAACTATGACGGAAAAGACTATGACCCTGTGGCTGCCAGACAAGGTCAAGAAACTGCGGTGGCTCCCTCCCTTGTTGCTCCAGCTCTGAATAAACCGAAGAAACCTCTCAGCTCTAGCAGTGCAGGTAAAAAAACAACAACCCCAAAACGTTATTTCCAAATAATAGTATTCCAGGTATTCATTCAACGTTCAACCAGAATTTTTTTTTTTTTTTTTTTTTTCTTCGAGACAGAGTCTCACTGTGTTGCCCGGGCTAGAGTGCCGTGGCGTCAGCCTAGCTCACAACAACCTCAAACTCCTGGGCTCAAGCGATCCTCCTGCCTCAGCTTCCCGAGTAGCTGGGACTACAGGCATGCGCCACCCTGCCCGGCTAATTTTTTCTATAATTTTTAGTTGTCCGATTAATTACTTTCTAATTTTAGTAGAGATGGGGTCTCGCTCTTGCTCAGGCTGGTTTTGAACTCCTGAGCTCAAACAATCCGCCCGCCTCAGCCTCCCAGAGAGCTAGGATTACAGGCGTGAGCCACCGCGCCCGGCCTTCAACCAGAATTTTTTGAGTAGCCACAGGCTTGGGGATCTTAAGCATGATCCCAGGCATGTGGCAAGAGCATGGAATCTGGTGTCAGGGAGATTGTGTTTGTCCTTAGATCCCCGTAGCCCTCTGTAAGGAAGCCACTTCAACTCTGCCTCACAGTTTCCTCCTCTGTAAAATGGGAATTTTAATACTTGCCCCAGAGGGTTGTTTTTGTTACTGAATGCAATTTGCTAAAGCTTTTCTAGTTGTGTGGAATAGAAATCCCTCAGGCTAGCTCACATAAGAGATATTTAGTTCAGAAACAAGGGCATTTTTCGCAGAACTCTAGGATGGGAAGTTACAATCAGACCTGATCTCCCAGGACCTGAAGGAGCTGTTTAGATCTCTCAGAAACGGTTCTTGGCTGTCTCTGCTTCATCACTCTGTAGGTCAGCTTCTTTTGCTTACTCACGGCCTCCCTACCCTCCCTAGAACTTCAGCTGGTAAGTAGTTTTGGCTTGCCATGATGCTAACAGAGTCTGGGAGGCAGGGGCAGACTGATTTTAGAGACCTTCTTGAAAAGGCATTGTCTTGATAGGTTGGTTTCCCAAGATATGTTTGCAGTAGTATGTTTGTAGAACATATGAAATTTGGGGGCAGGATAGATGTTGTGCAGTTGCTAATTCCTCCTTTTCCAGAGGATGTCAAGGTCCCCATGATACCTCGAGAGAGGCTGATCCATTTGGTAGGTAGGTAGTGTAGGTTCAGTATTTTGTAAACAGCTTTATGGAGATATATTTCACATGCCATCCATTTTACCCACTTAAATTGTATAATTCATGTTTTTTTAGTACAGTCAAAGACTTGTGTAACCATCACCACAATTTTAGAACATTTTCATCACTCCAAAAAGAAACTTCGTGCATACTCAATAGCAGTCACTTCCTGTTTTCCTCCTATTCTTCCCCCTTCCCCCAGCCCTAGGCAACCACTAATCTGCTTTCTGTCTCTGTGGATTTGCCTATTCTGAACATTTCCTGTAAAATGGAATCATAGAGTATGTGGTCTTTTGTGTCTGGCTTCTTTCACTTAGCATTATGTTTTCAAGGTTCATCCATGCTGTGGCTTGTGTCAGTACTTTATGCCTTTTCATTGCAGAATAGTATTCCACTGTGTGGTTATTTTATTTATTTACCAGTTGATGGTCATTTGGATTGTTTCTACTTTTTGGCTATTATGAATGATGCTGCTGTGTACATTGATATACAGTTTCTCTGTAGACACGTTTTTGACATCTCTCGGATATAGACCCAGGAGTATATACTCTTGGAGCAGAATTGCTGGGCCATATTGGGACTCTGTGTTTAACCTTTTGCAGAGCTGCCTGTTTTTCAAAGTGGCTGAACCATTTACATTCCCATCAACAGTATATGAAGGTTCCAATTTCTTTAGATATTGAGTACTTTTATTCTTTAGCTGTTTAGAATGCACATAGATAATTGTGTGCATTTCATATTTTAGATGCTGCTAACAGGTGAATGGAGACTTGCATTAAGCATTTAGACTTTGGGATAAACATATACTAGCAAGAGCCATCCGGAGGAAATGCCTTTTACTGTGAAAAGGGTGAAAGGCCTTATGATTATAGAGTTTGGGGTATCAGGAAGATTAGATATTAGATTAGATATTTCCAAGCCTGGCATAATGTACGAACTTTACAAAATAATTGTTAAGTGAATAAGTAAATGAGACCAGGTGTGGTGGCTCATGCTTGTAATCCCAGCACTTTGGGAGGCCAAGGTGGGAGGATTACTGGAGGCCAGGAGTTTGAGACCAGCCTGGGCAGCGAGACCCTGCCTCTACAAAAAATAAGAAAAATTAGCTGGGTGTGGTGGCAGGAGCATGTAGTCCCAGCTGTTCCGGAGGCTGAGGCAGGAGGATCACTTGAGCCCTGGAGTTCGAGGTTGCAGTGAGCTATGAATCTCACCACTGCACTCTAGCCTGGGCAGCAGAGCAAGACCCTGTCTCAAAAAAAAAAAATTAATTTTAACTTGTAGATACTTTACATCTTTTTCCTTGTCTTTGTCTGCTTTTGGCTATAAATACTGAGAGAAGTCTAAATCCGAGCCAATGTGGTGCTTTTCTCTCCTAGCTCTTCTGTAGACCTTCTAAAAGGTGAGCAAAGATACAGATTTTGACGTAGTCAGTGGTAAGAATAGGCTTTCCCACCCTTATGGACTCCTTCCTTCTTCCAATCTAAGTAGTCTGAGGTTATGAGTTAGGGATCTAACTTTCCAGATGGGGAACAGTGGGCACCTGGCAACAGCTGGGACTGTGAGCTCACTCCTGGAGTGAAGTTTGCCATTGCTCCATAAAGCTGCCCTGTTGGTGGATTATTTGGATCCATGTTAAGGTAGATCGTCTGTATGCACCAAAATGACTGTACTTCTTTCAGATGATAGTCCTATTCACCACAGCAGAGAAAAGATCTCACCGAAGGACTTACTCCCAACACGAAAGATCGTGGCTACAATTGGTACTTAACTGCTGCCAGGATAAACACCACTTTAGGCAGATGTGGGGGTGTTGTCTTGCATGCTGGGGCTCTCTAG